AAATGGTTCCCTTGCTAATGTAACCCATGTCGGCCAAGTGGTTTTCTCTCCCAACTTTATCCTTGACAATGTTTTATGCGTACCATTGTTTAGGATAAATCTCATATCTATTAGCAAATTAGCTTATGATTCCCTTTACATCACCATTTTTCTCAAACAATCTTGTGTTATACAGGACCTACGTTTGGGGTAGATGATTGGGACGGGAATTGAACGGGAGGGACTCTACCATCTCGACCCACCAAGGAAGGGATCCTGCAACACCACCACCACTATGAGTTCTCCTTTTCGGCACCAACGCCTTGGGCACCCATCACCTAAAGTGTCCTCGTTACTTCCCTTTCTGCACAATAAGTCATGTGATTCTAATGCATGTTTAATTTGCCCATTGGCTAAACAAACCAGATTGTCTTTTCCCTTGAGTTCTATATCTACTCGTTCCTGTTTTGAATTAATACATATTGACATTTGGGGGGGTTATCAAGTTCCTTCCCTCTCAGGTGCCAAATATTTTCATACCATTGTTGATGATTACACACGGTGCACCTGGGTTTATTTGATGAAACAAAAATCTGACACACAAGACATTCTTGTTCAATTTATACACATGGTTGAGAATCAATTCAATACAACAGTTAAGGTGATTCGAAGTGATAATGGTCCCGAGTTCAAACTTGTCACTTTTTATCAACTCAAAGGGATCCTGCATCAAACCAGTTGTGTCAACACACCACAACAAAATGGTGTTGCTAAACACAAACACCGTCACCTGTTAAATGTTGCTCGAGCCCTCCTTTTTCAAGCCAACCTTCCTAAACATTTTTGGGGGGATGCTATTCTCACTTCGGCCTATCTTATCAATCGTACACCCACACCACTTCTCCAAAGGCAAACACCATACCACAAGTTGTTTCACAAGGCACCACATTACATGCATTTACGTGTCTTTGGATGCTTATGTTTTGCATCCACCCATGCACAAAAACCCTCTAAATTTGATCCCCGTGCACGACGGTGCATTTTTGTTGGGTACCCTTATGGCCAGAAGGGTTACCGCTTGTTTGACCTTACACTTAACAAGTTTTTTGTGTCACGGGATGTCCTCTTTTTCGAAGACCATTTTCCCTACAAATTACCCCACCCTTCCGCTGCTTCCACTCCCACTCCTCTTCCTCTTCCCATAGAACCCTACTCGCCATCCTTTGATCCCGTCCCTATCATTCCCATAGACCCTCCCATCGCTTCCCCACCTGACATCGCTCTCCCTGTTGAGCTTCCTTCCCCTTCCTCTCCACCACCATCCCCTCCGTCTTCCTCTCCTGCTGCACCACCGCCACCCCGGCGTGGCACACGTCCTACCAAACCATCATCTTTCTTGCAGGATTTCCATGTTGAGACCTCTCTCCCATCCCGAATTGCTCCTTCCTCGAATATGGTTCAGGTATCAGGTACTGCTCACCCTCTGTCTCATTACTTATCTTACAATCGCCTTTCCCCTATGCATAAGCATTTTGTTACTAACGTCACCACCATCCGAGAACCCACTACCTTCCTGCAGGCTGTCCAACATCCACAATGGCGTGATGCCATGCACCACGAACTTGCTGCCCTTCAGGCAAACTATACTTGGTCCCTTGTTCCACTTCCTCCTCACAAAAAGCCGATTGGCTGCAAATGGGTGTACAAGGTTAAGCTTAAATCTGATGGGACCATCAAACGTTACAAAGCTCGGTTGGTTGCCAAGGGCTATAGCCAAATCGAAGGGGTCGACTATCGTGAAACCTTTGCTCCAGTTGCCAAGTTAACCACTGTCCGTGTACTCCTTAGTGTTGCTGCTGTGCGTCAATGGCATTTACATCAACTCGATGTCAACAACGCCTTCTTGCATGGCGATCTGGATGAGGAAGTGTACATGAATTTACCTCCTGGCTTTGGACGAAAGGGGGAGACTCGTGTCTGCAAGCTACACAAATCCTTATATGGTTTAAAGCAAGCCTCAAGACAATGGTTCATTAAACTTTCCACTGCTCTCAAGGCTGCTGGATTTCATCAATCATGTTCTGACTATTCATTGTTCGTCCGAAGTCAGCACGGTAACTTCATTGCTTTATTGGTATATGTTGATGATGTAATTTTAGCAGGAAATAATCTACAAGAAATTGAACCCACGAAGCAGTCCCTCTCACAACAATTCAAATTAAAGGATTTGGGACAACTCAAGTATTTCTTGGGGTTAGAGGTTGCACGATCTACAAATGGCATCACCTTATGTCAACGCAAATATGCATTGGATATCTTAGATGATGCGGGATTTTTGGGTGCTAAAACTTCACGGTTTCCTGTAGAATCAAATGTTTCTCTTACACAGATGGAAGGAGAACTTCTTATTGATGTTTCATCATATAGAAGACTTGTGGGTAGGTTGATCTACCTAACCATAACCAGGCCGGACTTAGCTTATGCTGTGCACATGTTAAGCCAGTTTATGGACAAGCCTAGACAACCACACCTTGAGGCAGCACACAAAGTTCTCAGATACATCAAGAGTTCACCGGGACAAGGTATATTGCTGCCATCCAAGGGATCCTTGCAGTTAAGTGCATTCTGTGACGCTGATTGGGCCAGGTGCAAGGACACAAGAAGATCAATAACAGGTTATTACATTCAACTGGGTCAAGCACCGATATCCTAGAAAACTAAGAAGCAAACTACTGTCTCTCGTTCCAGTGCTGAAGCCGAGTACCGTTCCATGGCAGCCACATGTTGTGAGATCACGTGGTTAAAGAACATTTTGAGAGATTTAAAGGTGAGTCATTCACAACCAGTCATGTTATTCTGTGATAACCAAGCAGCCATATACATTGCTTCAAACCCGGTATTTCATGAAAGGACAAAGCACATAGAGATTGATTGTCATTTGGTAAGAGAGAAGATTCAAGAGGGAATGATTCGTACGGCATACATACGAACAAGTGATCAACCAGCAGACATCTTCACCAAACCGTTGAATTCTATACAGTTTGAAACATTGCTCAGCAAGTTGGGTGTTATTAACATACACTCCAACTTGAGGGGGAGTGTTAAAGAAGATATCTCGGATTAGTAAAGTGAATCTTGTAAATCTGTACTTAGCCTTTACTTACCTGATAAGGTTTGACTTCCTTGTTTCTAGGCATTAGTTTAGGATTAGGGTTGTGTCTTTTGTATATATATTGTAACCCTAGCTTTCGGTAATATAATGAAAAACATTCTGCAATATCACGTTTATTTATATTCTTCTTGTTGGTGGTGGTGACGGATTGGTGATGGCGGCACTGCTGGCATTGAGGAGTCTGCATTCTTCAAGCTCTAGGGTTTTGTTGTTGTGGGCTTTCTCTTTTGGGATCTTCGGTTGTATTTACTTTTGAACTAGCTTGTATTTGGATTGCCTTTAAACTTTCTATTTCTTGTATTAATTTTTAAATGAATGAAAGTTATCTGTTTGACCAAAAAAACCACATAATTTTTGGGTTTCCTTTGCCACGAAGTGTTAATATCTACATCAATGTCATAAATTTACTTGAATTCAATATTTAATAGTACACTTTAGATTTATAAAATATTAATTTTGTTGTTCATCTATATAGGAAGACATATGGAACATTTCATCCTCTGTACAATTGAATCTCAACTAAATTTCTTGTTCCAGTACCTTTTTCATAAGCAAAGGATTTCGAAATCGAAAATTTAAAATAGTATCCTCTGAACAGCTCTCCTCGGCCGTTGGATCGGGTGAAGCCCTCTTGTTATATTATTGGCTATAGCCTACAGAAGAAGATGGTGCTGTTTTCTTGGGAAGAGATCCCGGATCTCTTCCATCAATACTATTGGATCAAGTGATTCGAACTTTTTAAATTTCATCCAACGACAAAAAAATTATCACAGCTTTTAAAGGGTCAAAACAGGTGGGTCGTTGGATAAAATTTGAAGGGTCCAAATCACTTAATCCGGTGATCTTGATGGAAGAGATCTAAAGAGAATCTCTTTCCGTTTTTTTGTTACTAATCAGTTGCCTTGGAATTTAAATAGCTGGTCTTCCATCTTAATCAGTCTGCTAAAAAAAAAACCAATGCTTTGAAGATTGAAGACTAAGTTGCCTTGGAATTTAAACAGCTTGTCTTCCATCTTAATCAATTTGCTGAAAAAAAAATAAAAAACCAATGCTTTGAAGATTGAAGGCTAATTTGCACAAGGAGAATAATTAAATCTTATTTTTAGATATGTTTTATGGAAATCTATTTTAATTTCACTTTGTTCTTTGTAACTAAAAGTCACAATTTTACTCTTTGAAACTCAAAATTTGTTCTACTTTGATTTATTGACTCTCTCTTCTCCCTGAAAATTATATGTAATCTCCTAAAACATATATGAGACCAACCTAAAAAAACTATGTTACATGTGCAATAAATTTGAATATAAACTCCATTATGCATTATCGTTCAACAATTAGAGAATATTAAGTTCAAAAGGAATTGAAGAGATGAAAAAAAATAGAAAAGAATTGATTAGCCTGTCTCACCTAAATCAAACCAACATAAGAAATTAAAAGATCCAAAGCAATGTAGAGCAAATTTGAGTTTGAGAGAGTAAAATGATAAGTTTTGAGTTACACAGAGCAAAGTGAGATTAAAATCGAGTTAAAAAAAAGCATAGCTAAAAATAAGCTAATAATTAAGAAGAAATGTATTTCACGGTTTGTTGCATGAGCGACGCTGCCCATTAAGCAAATGAAGCTACCCATCGTCTTGCTCACTACTCTCTTACCAGCTCCACTGAGGTCTCTTGGTTTGAAGAGCCTCCAAACATTTTACTTGATGTCTTTTTTTAAAGATTTTAATCCTTAAGTGGCTGGTTTCTTTCCTGACCAACTTACCTGCTATTATCTCTTTGGCTTTTGAAATATATTGTTGCTTAAAAAATACACACACACACACGAACAGACACACACTGAAGACCTCTAATAAAAGTGAAATTTAAAAGAAATAAATTCAACACATTCTTTTCTCTTTATATACACTCATCTCTATTTCAAGAGATTTTTTAATATGCTCGGAACACGGGATGAAACATCACATATCATTATACAATTGGAAGAATATTTCAACAAAAAAGTTTACACCAATTATATAATAATATGTAATGTTCCGTTCTATGTTCCGGCAAAGTAAAAAATTCCTCCTCTATTTGTTGCATGAATACTTACAACAGGCTTCGACTTAAATTACGTACGTACTCAGTACAATACACACACGGTATGTACTCGTTACAATACACACACATTTACACATACATACTTAAGCCCTCTCCAAAACGGTGACCGGAAGTCCGCCTTTCATCTTCGCGGTGAGGTAGGGCAACAGCTCCGGCTGTGCCCCGCCCTCCCTCTCCCGCGGTACCACCTTAAACCGCTTCAAAACCGCGCTCACCACCCTCTTCATCTGCAAAAACGCCATCTCCTTTCCCAAACAGATCCTGGGCCCCGCTTGAAAAACGGGATAGCTATACGTGTCCCTCCCAACAAACTTCCACTTGTGGGCCCCCCTCTCCTCTCTCTCCAGCCACCTCTCCGGCCTGTACTCCGCCCAGTCCGCCCCCCAGATCTCCTCCATGCGCCCCATCGCGTACACGTGGTACGTCACAGTCATCCCCTTCTTCACCTTCGTGCCGTCCGGCAAAACGTCGTCGTTTGCCACTTGTTTGCTGTCGGTGGGAACCGGCGGGTACAGCCTCATGCTCTCGCACAGCGCCGCGTGGGTGTACACCATCTCCTTCACCTCGTCGTAACCTCCTCCCGCTGCCGACTCAGACGACGCCGCTTCGTTGATCTCCCTCAAGATCTCGTTTTCCACACGTGGGTTCTGCGAGAGAAGCCAGAAGAACCAGGTTAGAGCCGCCGACGTGGTGTCCCGGCCTGCGAGGATGAAGCTGATGACGATGTCAGTGACGAACTTTTCGTCGGTGTGGCCAGAGCTCAAGAACCGGGAGAGCAGATCTACAGATTCCAACGCCTTCGCCTCGCTCAGATCCCGCTTCTTTTCTCTGACAATGGTTTTCGCGAACTCGCCGACTTCCGATACGACGGCACGGAGGCGCCTTTCGGACCCGATTCCGAGAGCCCTTTTGAGTTTCCATACTGGGTGCGGCAATCTGAACCTGTCGCCGCTGATTTGCACGGCGTCGTCGAAAGCCACTGCGAATTTGGCTTCGGGCAGAGAGGGCAGGAGGTAATCCGGGTCGTACCCGAAAGCAATTCGACAGATGTTGTCGAAACCGAAGCGCTGAAGAATGTCTTGGAAGTCCAGGACTGAACTGCTGGCGGCGGAGGCGGAGAGAATTGGAATAAGGCGGTCCGAGAGCTCTGTGTCAACCACCTGTTCGACAAATTTACGCAGAGACTTGGTGTTGAATTCGTGGCTGGAGACTTGGCGCTGGAACTTCCAGTTATCTCCATCCGCGTTGAGAATGCCGTCGCCGAGGAGGTCGGCGAGGGTGGTGCGGATTTTCTCGCCTTTTTGGTAGTTGGGGAAGTTGGTCTTCAGGATGTGCTGGACAACGGTGGGATTGGCGGTGACGACGAAGCGGCGGCCGAGAGAGTGGTGGAGAGTGAAGGTGTTTGATGGGGAGCTGCGGAGGAGGTCGGTGAACCACGGCAGCCTGCGACGGTGGTTCTTGTAGAGAGATGGGAATGTGCCGATTATTGAGTATGATTTGGGGAGCTTGCTTGTTTTGGGGTTCGGGTCCGATGAAAACCTGAAGAGGAAGAAAAGGATGGGAAGGAAGAGAAGGAAGGCGAAGGTTAACAGCTCAAGAAACATGGCTGGCCGATATAACGCAGAAAAATGGAAGGGCTTAAAGGTGTCGGACAATTTGCAGTGGTTGTTGTAGCGCTGCTGATTTGCGGATGATTTGGCAGCACGATTTGGGGGTTAATTTATAACGTCTGAGTTTGTTTTGTTTAAGCAAATTATCAGACTAATCACTTTTCACTGGAAATTTACGAAAAAATATGGTCTTGTATGAACAGTTTTTACCGTACTTAGAATATACTGTCAGTGGAAGTAGATGAAATGGATTTGCTCTTCCAGGTTATGGTCCTGATAATTAACCCCTAAAGATCCCCCCAAAAAACAAAAAAAAAAAATCTTGTATGAACAGTTTTTACCGTACTTAGAATATACTGTCAGTGGAAGTAGATGAAATGGATTTGCTCTTCCAGGTTATGGTCCTGATAATTAACCCCTAAAGATCTCCCCCCCCAAAAAAAAAAAAAAAAAAAAAAAAAAAAAAAAAGGGCCCAATGCTTTGAAGATTGAAGACTAATTTGCACAAGGAGAATAATTAACGCTTATTTTTAGCTATGCTTTTTGGAATTCCATTTTAATTTTACTTTGTTCTTTGTAACTTAAAAGTCATAATTTTACTCTGAGACTCAAAATTCGTTCTACTTTGATTTGTTGACTCTCTCTTCTCCCTAAAAATTATAGGTCACCTCTTAAAATATATATGAGACCAACCTAATATGACTATACCACATGTGCAATAAATTTGAATATAAATCTCCATTATGCATTAATGTTTAACGATTAGAGAATATTAAGTTTAAAAAAAATTGAAGAGATGAAAAAAATAAAAAAAGAAATTGATCAGTCTGGCTCACCTAAATCAAACTCACATAAAAAATTAAAAGATCCAAGGCAATGTAGAGCGAATTTTGAGTTTCATAGAGCAAAGTGAGATTAAAATCGAGTTCAAGAAGGCATAGCTAAAAATAAGCCAATAATTAAGGAGAAATGTATTTCACGGTTTGTTGCTTGAGCGAAGCTGCCCATCGTCTTGCTCACTACTCTCTTACTAGCTCCATTGAGGTCTCTTGGTTTGAAGAGCCTCCAAACATTTTACTTGATGTTTTATTTAAAGATTGTAATCCTTAAGTGGCTGGTTTCTTTCTTGGCCAACTTACTTGCTATTATCTCTTTGGCTTTTGAAATATATCGTTGCTTTCAAAAAATTAAAAAAAATTAAAAAATAAAAATATACTGAAGACCTCTTGTTTGGACTCGATTTTACACTATCGGCCTGAGTAATCGAGACCATTGAATGACAAAGTGGTTAAAATAATTTTCAATTATTATTAGGAAATTATGTTGTGATTTTAATCATGATATCTCTTAATAATATATTAAATTATTTAAACCTAATATTTGTCTAAATCCCCATTGATTTGAACATATGGGATATTGGGATACACACGACAATGAAGCAGGCAAGGATGGGATTATGCATGCATACAACTACAAATGGATGAATGTCTGTGTGACTTAATGCGGTAGGGTGATAGGCTTGATGATGTGACAAGCCTAGGTGTTGTTTTTGTTGAAAAGTCATGGATAATCATAAAGGACCCTGAGATTTTGTCAGATGGGTTTTGATAGAGAATGGTCTCTTAAAGTGATCAGGTTGTGTTGCAAATAAAATGCAATTTAGTACGCATGCACGGTTGCACCTGGATTAACATGGTGGAGAAAGAGAAGTTTCAATTGGAATAGGATGCTTTCATTTGGTAAGGTCACATATGCGGAAATATATATTTATTTTTCCAAGGGAAATTAGGAGATAGCCTTTATCGTATCATAGAGATATTTGACAGACAAGATGATTAGAAACTAGTTCTAAAGTGATGTTTGACAGAGTTTGAGTTGCAAAGGAACTCTACACGATTATCTAGCCGTGCCAAGCAAGTATGTCGGTCCTATAAATATAGATGCAATGGCAACGAAAAAGCAACCTCCAATTCAACACACAACTGCCCTGCGCAAACCTCTCAAACATCTTGAGATTTTTTTTATTTTCTTTTTCCGCCAACATACTTCAGTTTGGATAAACAGCACTGTGAAGGCAACCGGTGAACATCTTTAGTTTGGATAAACAACACTGTTTCCTTAGAATCAGCTGACCGAGGAGCACTTTCAGTTTGGTTAAACAGCACTGCGTCGAGGCCGACTGGTTACTTATCCAAGTCTCGGTCAAGAAGGGTTCCCAAATCCTTATTGGCAGATGTCATCTCATTAGCCATCTTGGCGAAGTGAGGTGTTACAGGTCACTACATTCGGCACATTGAAAGCTGAAACATTGAAACTTCGTAGAACTAACAGCCTTGTCTTCAGTCTCGAGAACCTGAAAGCCTAGACTTGTTCCTTCCTCGGCCGCAATCGCAAGATCGAGAAGTCAGCAAAGTGCTCAACGCAACATTAACAAATTTTACTCCTCGGTCGAGCTTGGCCGATGAGTTGGCATGCCCCGCATTCAATCGAATGACGTAGTTAGCTCATTAGTTACTCGACCTACACGTCACATAGGCTTTGTAATTTTTAGGGTCAACATTTTGGCACGTCCAGTAGGACCGAGTGCTAAAACTACGAAGTTCATATGATATATCAAGATGTCAATCCGGCTCCATTTAGCCGATTGCACAAGCTGCTTGTGCAATTGAAAAGAACCAGTGAGGAGAATACACAATGCCTTGAGGAGAATAGAAAACGCCTTCAGGAGGATAAAAAATCGTGGGAAGCGGTGAAAGTTCTTCGTAACGTGAAAGCCGGGAAAAAATCATTCGCCTACATGTTGAGAATAAAAGCTCTTGTTACCCTACAAGAGCAATGAGTAAACGAAGCCAGGGCTCAATTTAATGCCTGGTGAGATGAAGAACATTTTCCTTACTTTTCTGATTATAGATCAATTCCACTTGAAAAATGGTTAAGTCCTAAGGCCAGGGGGCAATTTTTCGCTTTGGCCACAATCAAAAGTCGGTTTCAGGAAACTGCCAAGACGGTCGAAGAAACACCTAGGCCACCTGTTGTCTCGATCAAGACTGAAAGCGTGGTAGGCCTAGAAGAAAAAGTTCAAGTTTCTGCGCCAAAAATCAACGATTCATCAAAGGAATGTTCCAATGATGAACAAGACCGATACACGGCTTCAGATGAAAAAACCACATCAATTGATATGGTCATTGAAGACATAGGTCTCGCCGAAAAAACCTTGCCAATAGATATGATTATTGGCGATAAAGTTGATATGGAAAAATCCAATTCGGCTAAGTTGTTTGAGTTAAAAGTCGAAATTAATGAAGCAATTATGCCTGGGGGGCATAATAATTGTCCGACACTTTCGACGGCCGAAAATGAAAAATATTCATACATGAGCTTTGGTCGAAGTCGGCGTAAATCTGGCATACATGAGCTTTGGTCTAAGTCTGCGTAAATTGAATTTGGTGGTCTGCAGGCAGTAGGAGGGCCAAAAATGTGTGGGATTTCCTGCTAAGCAATTTGTCTAGAAACAGCCGAGTGCAACAACTAAGGATAAAATCCTCGGTCATTACTCGGCCTCCCAATTTTTCAACTAGTCATGATTACCAAGTTAGCAGTTCTTGTACTCAGCCATAACTTTCCTCGACCTCGGCCTAAATGAATTTTCTTGACCTGAAAGGCCGAGCTGCCAAGATTATTGCTTCTTTGATCATAACTTTGGTCATCAAGTCGTTGCGGCAGCTTTCCCACAGATGCAGCTTTTCTACCATCAGAGATGGGCTGCTGAAGACAAATGGTACCCATCAAATGTTAATAAATAGAATGCATGCACGTATGCATGTGCATGAAAGGGACAAGGGGACTGATGGTTGCAGACTTTGTTAATAAAGTGGTTTTCCCATTTTCCTTTGACCAAAAGAAAAGGAAAGTGGGGGATTGGAGGGCTATCAAAAAAAAAAAGAAAAAAAAAAAAAATATATATATATATATATAAGAGTTGGCCAGAAGGTTTTATAGTGGAAGGTAGGTTGTCAAATCCAAGAGTCAGGTTTTCTCGACCTCGGTCTAGTTTTTCTCGGCCTCAGCCTGTCTTACACTTGACCCTAATTTCTCTTCTACCCCTTCCCAAATTCTTCTCAACCTTCTGGCAAAGTTGCCGAGCCTAGTATGGAGTTGTGGCAGTCGAGGAAGGTCGTAATGTTGGCAGAACATACATGTTATTGTTTAGAAACAAAGTTTCTTTTTCGGCGGTACAATGAGATTTTGTTGGTTTCGAACAATTAATTTCCTTAATCATTTGGCTTACGAGTTGAAGCTCAAGGAAATTGGGAGGTAATATTTGGACCCGATTTTACACTATCGGCCCAAGTAATCGAGACCGTTGAATGACAAAGTGGTTGAAATAATTTTCAATCATTTTCAGGAAATAATGTTGTGATTTTAATCATGATATTATCTCTTAATAATATATTAAATTATTTAAACCTAATATTTGTCTAAATCCCCATTGTTTTGAACATATGGGATATTGGGATACGCACGTCAATGAAGCAGGCAAGGATGGGATTATGCATGCATACAACTACAAATGGATGAATGTATGTGTGACTTAATGCGACTGGTGATAGGCCTGGTGATGTGACAAGCCTAGGTGTTGTTTTTGTTGAAAAGTCATGGATAATCATAAAGGATCCTGAGATATTGTCAGATGGGTTTTGATAGAGAATGGTCTCTTAAAATGATCAGGTTGTGTTGCAGATAAAATGCAATTTAGTATGCATACCCGGTTCCACCTGGACTAACACGGTGGAAAAAGAGAAGTTTCAGTTGGAATAGGATGCTTTCATTTGGTGAGGTAAACGTATGCGGAAATATATATTTATTTCTCCAAGGGAAATTAGGAGATAGCTTTTATCATATCTTAGAGATATTTGACAGCCAAGATGATTAAACACCAGTTATAAATTGATTTTTGACAGAGTTTTAGTTGGAAAAGGACTCTACACGATTATCTAGTCGTGCCAACTACGTCGGTCCTATAAATACAAATGCAATGGCAACGGAAAAGCGATCTCCAATTCAACACACAACTGCCTTACGCAAACATCTTGAGATTTTTTTTATTTTCTTTTTCCGCCAACACACCTTCAGTTTGGATAAACAACACTGTGAAGGCAACTGGTGAATATCTTCAGTTTGGATAAACAACATTGTTGCCGTAGAATTAGCCAATCGAGGAGCACCTTC